AAAGTTCCGAAAATTCCCATCACACAACTCAGAAGAGGAGTTGGCGAGCATATGTAGGCTTTCGATAAATTCTCATCGGGCCAATTGTTGGCTCTTCCTTATTTTTATAAAAACTATTTACGCCTCACCCACACAACATTCTATTTTCCAACTTCAGGTGGTATCCGAACTGTCAGATGCTGAATCGGAGATCTACAATGATACTGGAAAAGCCGTTGAACTGTGGACAGGCGATGACTTCCCAGAGCAGCCTCGAGTTAATTCACGTGGATTTAATCGTCTCCTCCAAGGCTATGTAAGCATCCGACGTCGCATCTTCCCTTCAGGGAAAACTAAGCAGCAGTCAGAGAAACCGGTATCTGTGATGAGTGGAGAGCGCACCGAGCCGCCTTCTTGTGCTGGCATATCTGGTCTATGCGCTCTCCTGGGCCTCCTGCTTGCCAGTGTGGCTTATGTCGCCTACTGCTGTCATGTCAGTAGTACTGATGACCCACAGATGACACGCCTTTTCGTTTTTGCGGCGCTCTTCTGGTTCGGCCTCCTCCTAGCTCTGTTTCGGCGCTTAGTGCATCAGGACAGCACCCAGGGCGGCTGTTTTACCCCCTTCTCGAAGCTCAGCGACGGCTGGTCTAACACTAGACGCAGGATGAAAACCTCTTTGGTGGCGCTGAAGGAGCGCACCAACTGCGGCAAGAAGGCCGAGTCAATACTGAAGTTGTGTGTTAAAGTGTAAGTTTCGCCACAGCGTACTTTTGTGAACATTGTGTTTGTTGGTAGGAGAAGCATAATGGTACTCTTTTTTTTAACGGTTTTAGCTTTACCATCAGCGCAATGCTTCTGGTGGTTTGCCTGTGTCTCGTATTCCTTGTCATTCTGGTGAATCCCCGCAACTTGATCTCTCTGTCGGGAATTGCTCTCAATCTTCTTTTCTGCATAGCTATCTCTCGACACCCTGGAAAGGTGATTTTTAGTTCTGTTTATCACTCTCTTTCTGTCTCTTTATGTAAAATATCTTAGGCTTTGGATCAGGTTTTTGAATTAGGTCTCTTAATAGTCGAGGGTAGGTGATGCATACACCTCTATTCGTTGTAATTGCTTGACCAATATCTGTTGTAACAGTGGTATCAGTTGTGTGTCACCGACTAATTTCGCCCTGTTGAATTCCCAAGGAATAACAAAATAGGAAGGGC